GGTGTGTTCAGACTCCCTTTTGTCACCATTCAGCAAATACTGAATATAACAAATGCTGGTGTACAAGGATGTCTGTCTAATTATTCATGTATCAACAAAAAGGTTTGAAACCTTTAACAGCACATAACTGTCAGCAAGTGGAAAATAAAAAATAGAAAGTAGCTAACAGCAACAGCCTTCAGTCTGACAGGTTTTAAGTAAGATTATAAACATACTTATTGCTCAATGATCAGGGGAGTTCACTGTGATTACTGCTGGCACTTTAATATCATCCAACTGCTGAACACAAATGCTCAGGTGTATACTGCATTAGGGCTGATAACAAAATTATCACAATATAATAACAATACGAAAGAGGTTCAATATATGTTGATATAGTTCTTGTGCATTGTGAAAGCACTATGCGGAGGTATAACACATAAATGATCAGATTTATAAATTCTATTGCTGTTTGTCATTCTCACAACCTTCACTCAGGAGCAAAAATCTGTCTTTAAACTTGAAAGAAATAATCGTTTGAAATTTATTGTGATAAATATCAATATGAACATTTTTATCTTGATAACACTTTGGACATAACACCTAGCCCTATCCTGTGCAGTCTAAAGTGACTCAGTGGTGTTAAATCATTCATATCAATCCAAGTGGATCAGTGTTGTCATCCTTGTTTCTGCAGTTTTGATGGTTTACATATTGTGAAGGGTTTTCATGGAAGATGCTGTCAGGGGAGAACATGCCACCTGCTCTCTTCTGTTTGTTCAGTTACTGCGGATATTACAGCTATCTCTGAAATGAAGGTGGGCTTAATATTACAAATCTTTCAACAGATTGTTTTTCAGGGCTTCACCTCTTTCTCTGGTGAAATGTGAAAAAAAAATCCCAGTCCCTAATCTGGAGTCCCTCTTTTTGCAAATTGCAATGCAAGTGTTTATCTGTGTGTTGAGCTCGCTCTGTCAGATTCAATTTTTAAGGCAGTCTGTTTTTGTTTGCCTTGGAAAGGTGAAGCTGGTTTCAGCCTATTGTTTTTTTAAACAGAGATGAGGTGAAGCTTTATGTGAAAAATACACTGGAGCAGCAACAGAAATTTAAATGGTATATTAAGAGATTAGAAGTCCATAAATGTTTCTTTTGAGGCACTGAGAGGACTGTAGAGAAGTCTGAATCAAAGGCTCTGTGCCAACATGCATTAAACAACCAGTTTACATTACTGAGTTATACTATGCATGTGACATGAGGCATGAATGGAACAATAAAAAGTTCCATAGATGCTGATGAAAGCAGCCACATACAACAGAGTCTGTGTTTCCCTGCTGGTCTTTGCAGTGCCCTCACAAAGGAGAAAGAAACAAAAAAAAT